TAACTTCTGACTAGGAACAGTTGCTCAGTTACTCTCTCAAATGTGTTCCCACTTACAGGTTTTATGTCAATAGGAACGACTTCCTGTAAGTTCTGACTAAATCCTGTAAACCGGACTGCTATTGGAACAGACTATTTATCTCCAGACGGAAAGACCTTAAACATTGTTTATAAAGAAAATTTTTAAATATAAACTTAAACTTCATGAACCCACTTCTTCTTAACTCTGACAGCGGGACTTCATTTTTAATTTCATCAAATCTGTCCCTTTTGCTTCACAAAACTTCAAGTATATGCAAAAGTATGTATAAAGCTGCGCTGACAAAGTCGCGGGTATCCGCTAATATTATATACAAAAAGGAAATTTTCATTCGAAATGTACGCATTTGGGTTTCACGCACGCCATAAGTCGGACTGGCCAATCCTCGATACTTCTTTTTAAACTCATGCTTTTCAATATTGTTATCGATAAACATAATCATATTTATTGGTAGATTCGTCGGTATTGTTATTTATATATGTTCAGCAATAAAGTTATCTAAATAAATATTTATCAATATCGATATCGATAAATTTTGAAATGATTACTTGGCACCGATTGCATCATTTCAAAGGTAGCTATTTAATCAGTTTTTCACGCCCCCACCCATTCAATTTACCATGCTCGGAGCTGCAAATTTATTTTTTCCACATGGTTATGCACCTTTTTCACGTGATTATGCAATTCACACAGATACGGTGCACAGTGGGATGTCCCCATATAAGCTGGGGACAAAAGTAGTAGAAAATGTGTAGTAGTAGTAGTAGTAGCAGAAAAGAATTGTGAAAAATGGTAAAAGTCGACGCACTGCCAAGCCTCAGCTCTTGTGAGCGGAAATAGTAAGTGTTATCCGATTTTAGTGACAGTTAGAGTATACATATCTAGTTTCAAACAGAAAAACATAAATCTGAAATAACGTAAAACTGGGTTAATATTATCGCCCACCAAGTCTAATAGCCAGTTTAACGAAAAAAATTTAAGTGAAAAGTCATTTTTTTTTTTTATTTGAATTTCATATGGAAACTGACAGAACAAAAAATATTTTTCATTTTAATTGCTTTCGTGAAACCGGCAGTAAAAAATAGACGCAAATGTTAAAGTTATATTCTGATGAAAATTTTTAAATATTCGTTTATAAAGTTAGCACTCCAAAAATTGTAATGTATACTTTCAAGTAAAATTGTCTAATAAAATTCAGTAGATAAATGTGTAATAAAGCCATGATTGACGACAGATATACTTACATATTAGGAAAACTGGTCCTCAATCAGATGGTCCTATTACATATCAGCACTAGTAGAAAAATTAATTTAAATTCCACGCGGCAAAATTAACATTTTTTCTTGCACATTTATTTTGTACGTTGTACATACATACATACATACCCATCCCTGCAAATATGCATTTTTATCAAAAACTGTTCTTGATTTGGGTGGGTTAGTTGGATACTTTTCTATTGATTTTTAAGAATTCGCTAGTCCGTTTTCATTATTTTTTGCCCCTGCAGGCCCATTGTGCGGTGGTCTTTACAAACATCCGTGAACAATTGTTAACTGCAGCGTATAGAACCGATTTATGTAAACGAATTTAACTTTTAACCAGCATGAAATATCTATAAAAACAAGGGGTTGCGAGTTGCACCATCAGTTTCACTTAAAAGTTTAGCCGGAAACCATAGAAAATGTTTAAAACCTGGATAGTTTTATATTTGATTGTTTGCCCGAGTTTGCAGGTTAAAAAAGTATATTTCTCAAACGCTTTACTCATCCTAATAATTAGTTCTACTCTCAACAGGTGTCCTCAGCTCCGTTAGGAAATGCATTTAATTTTAATCCCGAGCATTTCTTCAACACTTTTGCAATGCACTATCCACAATTAAGCGACTCTTTTAAGGAGGTTCTCACCTCGGGAAATAATGTTTTAACCCAATTTTCCTCAATTGCGGACTCACTGTTTGGGAACATCAATTTACTTCAGAATTTTATCGATGAATTCGTGGACACGTCATCTGATGGTGATTCTAAGAGTGAAACTGATCTGATAATGAAGTTCTTTGAAGAATTGCTGAATGTTTATGATGACTCATCAGAGGAGTTTTAAATATTTGAGACACCAATGAATCCAGAAAAAAGTGTTGACGTAGCTGATTTGTTTGGGTTAAAATAAAAGCATAAAGTGTTAATTAACGCTGAAACGAATTTTTGAATTAAAGGAAAATATCCTATGAGTTTATGGTGTGACTTAGTTATTCTTAAAAAACTTATTGGTAAAATATGGCGTAAAAAATGCTACGTATTAAAAAATTTGCTTAATAAATGGCTGAAATGAATACGCGTTGGCTTGTACATATTTTCTTTTTTTCGTAGCACCACTGACATTATTTAAATCTCAACTACATCTCGAAAACCAGAATTTCAGAATTAAAAAAAAATCAAAACTGCCGAAAATAGCTTGTATAAAGTTTACAAAAAAAAAAACACTATATGCACTTTGTTCGCCATCTTGAATTTGGTGTTGGTTGATTTTTCCGATCTTCTTTAATATGACTATAGATTTGTAAATTAGCGTTGCCGAAAACACCTGAAAACCGATTGTTGTCAAATAGTTTGGAAATGGTGCTTGCTAAACTGTATACATATATGTATGTAGATTGCATGAAGCTTTTGAACGGATAAGGACATTTAAAGTCCGCCCCAGTGATGTCTATTATGGTTATGATCAGGACTAAGACCCCTATCGATCCCAATATAAATTTTTCCAATCAGAGAAATGTACATATTCTGGAAAGTAGGAAATATAGTGCTCCGGTTGGAGAAGTGTGGAGCCCTTTTTTTGTAGGCCTCTTAACCTTTTGTTGTCCCTTAAATTTTCTTTAGTTTAACTTTTTTGAGTGTCATAAAGAATATGGTAACCGGAGAAACTATATTTTTTATCCTATATAAGGCTTTCTGATGTTGGTGATTATGCATAGTTTCGTGGCTATATGGTGAAAACCGCTGTATCTGTTGGGCACTTTTCAGAAAAAAATATACCATAATAACTGTAGTGTTTTGTCCAATCTGAAACAATACCCGCTCGCTGTAATCCCAAAACTAGCTGAAACATCAGTGATTCTGGATTATTTGTATTTGTATTTTGTATTTTGTTTATTTAAGTAGATTAGCGCATTAAGAATTAAACTTTTATTGCGCAATACAAATAACGGATTACAAAAATATGTATTAAAATAAAATAAAAATTACAATTATATAAATATAGCTATGTATGCATATGTAAATATTATTCAAATATAACAAAGTTGTCCTGTTTATCGCGTAACTTTTTTACCATTTGATATTTGAAAATGGTTTTAAAGTAAAAGTATATTCTATATAAAATACTCTGGAAGATTACACCAGAGCTGAATGCTTGCCTCTTATAGAACCAGAGTTATGAGTATTCGCAATTTAGCATCTGAAAAGAAGCTCATGAAAAATAAATAAATTATTCCGCTGGCACACTTATTTATCTATAGAAACGGACACTTAAATACCCTTTACAAAAAAGAAAGGAGAAAGGAGTGTAGAGTTGAAGGCCTGTTGACTCCCAAGAAGGCCTTTCGGAAGTACTTTTAACTCATGCAATTATCTACTGGGTTATAAAATGATGTATGTTTAATACAGCCATGCACGACGAACATTTTGGCGAGCGCATTTACAACTCGCATTCGTATTTTTAATTTGTTTCTGTAGTCCCGCAAATCCCGCGGAACCCGCATATGTAATACCTCATTTCTGATCCCGCAAAAATGGCGCGGGATCCCTCATTTGCGGGTTTGAACCCCCAAAACCCCTACCTGCGTTCGCCCCTGGCAATTGACTCAGTTTTTCAAAACCGGGTTCGATCGATTTTCTGGATATCTATAGACGATTTTTTTAGACATTGATTTTGCGAATATCGAATAAACCGGATTTTCATTTCGTACAATTCTTGACATCTCAATAACAGTTTTGAGTTTTTCGAAATTATTTAGGGATGAACATTAGTATATCATATTGGATTCCAATAAACGTATGTTTGGTTCTATGTGTTCTTCCGAGTTTCTCCTCCAATTCGTGTTCTGCTTCTTGATGTTATGACTCAAATGGAGAGATCTAAACTTTTACTCCACCTCCGAAGAAGCTTTTTTGTGGCAGAAGTACACTTGGATGTTTGCCATTGTCTACCAGGGGTGACCGCTATTTGAAAAAAAAACTTGTTTGATGTTGATGGGACCAGAAATTGAAGCACGTATCTCCCGAGTGGCAGTAGGCACATCTAAGCACTCGGCTACGGCTCGCAAACCCGAAAAGAGTCGGTCATGACTTCATACCAACATAAGCATTTTCACTGTGTAAAATAAAACCGGTTTGTCCGTTTTTTGCCTAATTTCGAAATTGGGGACCGGGTTTTTTTCCTCTTCTTGCAAAATAGGACTCCTTTGGCCTCTCCGTTCATAGACAGCCACTTGACGCCTTTTTGTCAACAATGTGGCATCCTACCGTTGATTGTCGTTTTTTAGGAAGACTGAGGCGACCTTCACATCCAAGCATGGTACGGCAGTATTGTCGTGAGAATCTACATGTGATCGGCTTCAACGTTTGATATGGGAAAATAAAGGGCCAAGGTCCCCGTACACTATAGCCATCTCTTCAAATAAATATTTCCGTTGGCGTTTTTTTTTTTTTATTGTGAGGAACCTGATAGCTCTGCACCCTAACTCGTGCAATGCGCAGATGGCTCACACATGGTGATGTTTCCGGCTCAATTACTGAAAGCGTTATGAAGTTAATGGCATGAAATTCGGAATTTAAATGTGTATTTGTTGCGGAACTTATTTCATTCTCTTTGTCTTTAATTGATATTTATTTTGAACAACAATCTTTGTATAAAGCTATTTAGTAACAGAAAAACATTTTATAAAAATAATTACACCAGCGAGCATTGGAATATATTTTTTTTTATTGACAAATTTAAATATAGTATCCACATGCTACTATATAAGTTTTATTGGAAAATCGTTCTTCCATAACATTTACCAAATGAGAAATATTTTTTATCTCACCAATGAGAGTTATAACCCAACGTTCAGTGTTTACGTTGCCTGATAACTGTTATGCAGGAGAAATATGTTTTCCGTCGCCAATAAGAGTTATTTCCCAACATTTATTTTTTTTACGTTGCTTGATAACAGTTATTACCCAACTTTTATTATTACATTGCCTAATAACAGTTATTTCACTCCTCCTCTTTTATTTTCATCATCATTATCTTTTTCTCCTTCTCATCTCCATCTCTATTTTCGTGAATATTCTTTTCTTAATACGTTTATCAGACAACGAAAAATAAACGTAATAATTTTATCGGCGAAATAAAAAATAGTTTTCATCTAATAACTGTTATGAAACACATAGTCAGTTTTTTAATAATGTTATAATTTTATATATACGTCTTCACTTTCTGAAAATAGCAGCTTATATCGGAATCCATAATTGGATCTACTCATTAAGCCCTTATTCAACATATTGCGTTTCATATACATTCATCAAATCTTCCTCATTTTCCCGCTCAGCTGGTAAAAGAGACATCAGATACTTTTCGAATTCATATGCATAATGGCTACCAATTTCATCTAGTAGCTTATATTCCTCCGCTTCCAATTGGTCATAACCGTGTGCCTTCAAAGCCTCTCGAATGATTATATCATTTTCACTTGTATGATTTTCCTTATCCGATGTATAATGATTTGTAAAGGTAAAAAAATCTTTAAGAACGCGCGTTTTACATTTGCTAGAATTTGAACTTAGAGCTTTATCAGAATCCTTTACATATTGCTCAAGCATGGCCTCTTCTCTTGCATATCTTCGGTGGTCCGCACCATTGATTCGGGCGTCTGCTAGCAAATCCTTGGCAATTTTATTACTACCTTCCAACAGGAATTTAAAATGTTTGGCATCACCTTCTTTGATCATTGCGGAGAGTCTTTTTCGCTCAATAGATGCTGCACTTTTTCCGGTGACCGCGTCCTTTTCCTTTGGAATTACATTATGTTCCTTGTAGAGATTCTCATCGGAACCTTTGGGAAGTGTACTAGGCAAACCGAATGCAATCTGCAAAATATTGTAATATGAAATAGTAAAAAGATAATACAGCCATGTTTACAATTTAATCAAACCTGAATAAGTATTGCACCTAACAGCACAAGAATCGGCTTCGGCATCTTATCTTCTCTGTAAAGAGTTTCTTATTTCGAAATCGCTATTGTGCAAGTCGAAAAACGTACTAAGCAAATTGATAGTCGTTGCCAGTGCATTTATAGATGTGGATTACAAAACATATTCCGTGGGTGCATAAAAATTTCAAATATACAATAGTACAGACATACAAGTATGCAAAAGTTAATAATAACATACTTATTTGCGCAAATGCTTTAATTGATATTCCAGCTAATTTTTGCCTAGAAAATTATATATGTATATACATACCATGGTTGTTGCGAATATTCGCATTCGTAACCGCGGAGCTTTCGCATTAATTTTAATATTCGCTTTCGCATTCGCAATAATCAACGCGGAGCTTTTGCGAATTATTAGTCAAGACTTTTTGTATTTCAGCGACGATGTTTGTTATGCCTTTTTGCATTTCAAGTGACAATATATTTGTGTCAATCATTTCAAATGGGGAATTTATTTTTAGCGAAAAATTTGAAAACCATTAATTTTGTTAACTTGTTGGGCAATATTTTTTCCATAGGGATATACATTGGTTCCTTGGCTAAAAACTTCTACGGTAAACTGTTCCCCTACGTATCCCTTCTATGCTATTTAAAGTCAAAGAGTAAGCACCACAATGTGTATTTCCAGCAGAAATGTTCAACGTCTGGCTATAAAAATAATCGATGCTCAAATAATTAAAAATCTTTAGGTCTGACCTCTAATTAGGTAAGAATTACGAAACTATCTGNCTGATCCGATTTGGCTGGCAGCTCAGACTTTGAAAACAGAATTTTGTTCATAATTTTTATTCCTGGAAAATAAAACCGTGCGACAATAACCAAAAATTTTTAAAACACACGAAAAAATTTATTTATATTAAATACAAATGTTCCAATTTTTTAATTCAAGTACTAAATAAAATAGACATTATTAAAAATTACTAACTTTTCCATTTTTTATTTACCTAAATAACTTAATTTACTTACCTAATTGTTTCTTAGAAATACTTGACATCCGCATCCGCATCCGCATTCGCATCCGCGGATGTCTAAAATTCCATATTCGCAACATCCCCAATACATACATATATTTGCACTAAGAGGTCAAGTGTTTATATATGACATCAACATTTGAATTAAATTAATCAAAAATGATTAAGTCTATCAAATTTTCTCCAATGGAGGTGTGCTATTTATGTTTATTATAGATTCTTTTGTTTTCGTTGCTACTTTGTGCATGTCAGCTAAACGTAGGTTTTGAAACTATAGTAAAAAAATTTACATACTATATAGACTATGCGCGTATAGCACACGAGGATTCTACGTGTAATTCTAAGCAAATTTGCTGAAGAAACAATGGGTCTTAAATCAGTTAGGAGTTTACCAAATTGCGAAAATAGGTTTCGAAGAAAATGGGAAAATTTTCACTGTTGCTCCCTCTGGTGGAAGTTTTAAGAAAAAGATGAGTGCAAAAATGGATTCTTTGTACAGAAAATTTAAACACTTCCTTGCGACACTGCCTCAAAGTGCTAGGCAATCTATGTATTTTCGCAATTTGGCAAACTCCAAATTTATTTTCGACCCATGGCTTCCTCGGCAAATTTGCTTAAAATTACGCGCAGATTCCTTCTGTGCTATACGCGCATAGTCGAAAAAATCTTCCATATAA